CAACCTTAGTTTCCATGAGTCACGGGGAGCTTTTGTCACTTTTCTCATGATAATTCTCCAGACATTTCGAATCATTACTTTTATACCTATCATGAAAACGACACGACGCTCATGCATCTCAACAGCTTGGTTTATGTGTTTGGAAAACCTTGAGTGCATCACTTACGTCAGACTCTTTTGATCCAAAGTCAATATATAGATGGCCCATTGCTCGAATTATGGCCATCATACTCTGAGCTGTGTTACTAAATACAATAGGTCTGTATTGTAGACGTTCCTCTTTTGAGTATCCTGAATCGTGAATAATTCTGGGAAATCGATTGCTTCTCAATATGACCTACTTCATCTGTTTGAGGATTGTGCTTTTCCCAGACTCGCCAGCGCCTAAAAGCATGAAACACCGGTGTGCTATTTACCGAGTAGAAGCAACTTTATGTCCTTCTCTCTCGCTTTTTCCGAAGCCCTTAAGCCTTTATCAATTGCCTTCGACCGTTCATAGGCTATTTTATCTTCCTTGCTTAAAAGACAACCCATCCACCGCGATATTTGATATATTAATCATCGCAGGCGCGCTCCGATTTCGACCTTGAAAGCGGCTCGGTTCAGTAATTCCACACGTTCGATGGGTAGAATATTAGGAAGGGGGTCTGCCGCTGTTAACAAAACTTTATTCCATCGGTCAGCAGTTTAGCGATGCACTCTACGTTCTACAAGTGTCGATCTCCCAGCTGAACCGGGGAGCTTGGGCAGAACCCTTGATTATGTCTATCAGTCCGTGAATCCATGAGTTCCAATGTCCATCCGAATCCTCTAAAATTTCTTCATTTTATGTCTCAAAGTAGATGTACATGTACCCCCTGGCCTGAAATAAGAATCTGAACTAGAATTGACCCAGACGTCACACCATCTTTCGGAATAGTGCCATGGGGATTTGAGGCGCAAACGTGCTGCATGACAGAAATTAAAAGATCAATACGAAGAATCGCGGGTGGTAAGGGACCCCAAAAGATCTCTTACTCATCCTTTGCTTTATATGTGGGCTGGCAGTCCCAAAATTCTCCATATATTTAAACAGTGATACAACAGATCCGCCGCATCGCCAGGGAGCCGGTTACGTGTGCCAACAACGCTGTAGATGTTATTCTTGGGGCGTTGTCTAATATTCACGTGACAGTGGGTTTTTGGTGTCTCCACATTGCAGGCCACTCTGGGATGCCTAAAAATATCATCCGAGTATAGGTGCCTACATACCTAGAAAGGTCCTAAAGCCTTTGATCACATCCTCCCGTTTGCTCCAATTGCAATGAATCTTCCAGAATAACCCTACTTCTGCTGAGTCTGCATGTTTGTGGCAAGCTCTTCCGCTGTATGTGGTGGTTGCTGCGGTCTTGAGGATCATACTTCCCCTTTCTTATTTCTGCTTCACCTTCATCGTGAAAATCTTGATAAAAATAAGTCTTCACAAACAACAGTGCTTTTCATATTCTGTGGTTTCTGCCATCTTCAATGGATACGGTCTTTTTGCTCATTGTCCGTGCCGGTAATTAGCTTGAGTATTCAGATCACATTGATCTGTTAGTAGTTTTCGAGTGTAGTTTAACCACTACTCACTTGTGGCACCCGCTTTTACTATCTTCCCTCCGCAGACGTCACCATCTCGGAAAGCCCCTAGATGTGCAGATTTGTGGGTGGGGAAATGTGAGTACGACAGCGTCAAAGGCTTAAAAGCAGCTGTGTGGATCGGTTTGCTTTCGCTGCTGGTTGGTTTTAGAGTCATTCGGTTCGGTAGCAACCGTATACATGATTGTTTTCCAAGGTGTTACAGTGAAGGTTTTCCTTTAAGCGTCGGTGGTTTACCGGAGGATGAAGAATACCGGCTCAGCCACCAGTCTGACGGCATCTTAGAAGTGCTGTAACAAGTCGGCTGCCATGAATATTCCAATTTAGATTACTGTGCTCTGTGACCAGGTCCTCCGGTCTGCGTTCTGAGAACACGTGATCCACTCTGTTATGCACACCGACAACCGACAAGAAAACTCAATTTAAAATGGAATGTTAGACTTGAGGATCATCTGGTGATCATCTTGGTGATGCCATTTCGGAGACTTCGTGCTGTTTCGATTGAGTGGATAGTTCATCCAGGCCAACGGACGTTTACCAAACTCTAGCTTCGAATGATCGGTCCCTTTAGAGCCACCGCTGCTTTGTGAAGGCCGGAATTGATTTTTGAACACATTCACCACACATTCTCACGAATTCACCGACCTATGCCCAGGATCAAAATGTTTTCCCGAGGGTTCCGAGTCAAGATTATTCCCTCCGGTAGGGGGCTGTGGTTGGCTTCCTGAGACACCTTGTATTTTGGGAGCGATGGACAGTGATTTTTCACGGAGCGCGACCTCACTCAATTAAGCATCTTAAGTTCACCTTGTGCAAATTTGGTCCCAGATCAGTCGAGGACCAACGTGGTCGGAACTACATTCCAGGGAGAAACTCCTGGAGACATGAAAAGTTGTCACTGAAGTTCGATCGCATGTCCGCCTGTCATATTCTTGCCGTGCGTAAATAAGGTAAGCTACAAGATAGCTCATCGGCCGGATCTCGCAAAACGAAGGTGTAGGTATCAGATTTTTTCTCTGAATGGTCTTGGTTTAAAGGATGGAAAGCAGTGGTCTCAGGGAGCCTTCGTGACAAAGCTTTGGACACACTAAACAAAGTTCAGCCCCCCTGCTCCCTAAGTGCACATGGCGGTTGCCATTTTAAGAAGTCTGTCTGATAGGCGTTCCATCTAGTGTCTGAAAGTTCATACCAGTAACATGTAAGCGCCCCAATCAGCCTGAAGTACATCAAGGGCTCTTTACTCTATTCACACTGAGTGAGCTAGACCGGCTTCTTAAAGAGGGCCAGGTGCCTGATCACTAGTCACTACTCTGCTTTATAATATAGCACCACGCACGAAGAAACATCTTTCGAGCCCCCTTCATTTGACATGCTGATAGGCGTCTTTTCCCTCAAAAAAGGGTGCTAGTCTGACGAGCACTGTCACTGACATCAATAACTATCGGATGCGCGTCGGTGGAAAGCTCAAAAGGCTCTGAAGAGCGCGTGAAAAAAGCCTTTGACACACGTCAGATTGGAACGAGGAAGGAAATATGACGAACTTCAGAAGGGTTTGCGCAAGAAGACAGAGCAAATGATTCCACCTCGCCGCCTTCGTAGGTTTCTTTCCAGCTACGCCAATCAACCCGGTCCTTAATTCCGTAGGGGATTTTAACCAGCGCTTTGGCCAATATAGTTTATTCAATGCAGTTTCATTGACAGGTTCCCGGTCGACGTCCTCTGCAAAATCATTCATTTCCATGCGTGAATCTGGGCAGCTCCGTCCACCGGAAGGTGGCTACCAATTCATCAAATTTATGGCGACATCATATGCTGAAATGGGTTCTGAAAGCAATTTAACATTCTCAGATGCAATTTAGTATTCTTGTCTCCGATTCTTATAGTTTACACCGGGATTCCTTGTTTTGTCGTTTTTTGGTTATGATTCCATATATCCAGGCCCACCTTGGCCTAAACGTTAAAAGCTTTTTGACCTTGCCCGTGCAAAACTTTTAGCACAACCTCGCGGGTTTCCTCCTTTTAGCTGGTCTTTAGACTCAAACTCCAAACGTCTCTGAAACCGCTGTTCGAAGAAGTGAACCCTCAACATATTTAGTATTCAATGGCATTTATTGAAACCCTAGAGTCCCCATGCGTGGCGTCAATCTCACTGAAATTTGTTTAAACTAACACAAGTTCTACTGTAGGCGTGTAATTCGTGATGATAATAATACTAACAATGATAATGTTTGTTCCCAACTTGTTGGTGACATCAGGCATGACCATCAGGCATGACCATAATGTTAATGTCAGAATAAAAGCATGACTTGCGGAAATGGTGGACACTCGGGGTTCAGGAAAAGGGACAGCGTCATAAGGGGTGGGCGTCACCCGATTTCAGCGTGGTCACCACTGAATCGCCCGGGCAAGATCGAATCGTTATGGTTTGAATGTTGCGAAAAAACAAATCGAGGGAGAGCAAAACAAGAGGTTTCCTGTCTGATCCATGACAAAAAAGGTGCAACAGTGAAAAATGAGGAAACCGGAACATCGGATCTCGTGAAGCGGCAAAGTTAAAGTCATCTAGCTCGTGAAATTGAGCTAAAACCTAAGACCATCGCTAAGGCCTATTGGTTTTGGAGTGCTGGCCTCATGACCAAGGTCTCAAAAACCGTAAGTGGGGTCGATAAAGTGGAGGGATTAGCGAGGAAGATTAGTGGTAGTAGGAATCTCAGAATCACGGTATACAAAAAAACCGTAAAGACTCACCACTGTCGCCATTGTAGAGTTGGGCGTAATAAATCCTTGGACAAGTGACATGAGGTCAACAGACGAACCGGAGCACGAACTGTACAGAAATTTAATGAATTTTGCGAGAAGCACATACTCAAAAAAATGATTAAATGAAATGAAAGAAATGATTAAAGTACAGCAGATTGGAATCCATATGTCATGAGTCAGCTTGGGACATGTAGCGAGCTTATTCGTATTTGCAACCAATGTAACGAGTGGGCGAGAGGTACGGTCAAGAGAGGGAAGGGAAGAGCTGCGTGTGTGCTAGCAAACTGGGTATGGCAGTGCTATGCCATCAGAGGCCTGACATACTTCGGTTTTGGGGCAGCACATTTACAGTCATTGGGCTATGATGTGCGATTCTTTTAGCAGCAAGAATCATTTCGGGCTGTCCGAGGAATCAAGGTAGAACGATGCCGATATAGGAATGCAGGTGTTTTGTTCGTTCGGGGATCCTGTGGTTGTAGACCATGGGCCAGGTGGTGTACATAACAGCCAACCAGTTCATCCAAACCGGATATTGCAGATGCAATTTAGTATTCTTGTCTCCGATTCTTATAGTTTACACCGGGATTCCTTGTTTTGTCGTTTTTTGGTTATGATTCCATATATCCAGGCCCACCTTGGCCTAAACGTTAAAAGCTTTTTGACCTTGCCCGTGCAAAACTTTTAGCACAACCTCGCGGGTTTCCTCCTTTTAGCTGGTCTTTAGACTCAAACTCCAAACGTCTCTGAAACCGCTGTTCGAAGAAGTGAACCCTCAACATATTTAGTATTCAATGGCATTTATTGAAACCCTAGAGTCCCCATGCGTGGCGTCAATCTCACTGAAATTTGTTTAAACTAACACAAGTTCTACTGTAGGCGTGTAATTCGTGATGATAATAATACTAACAATGATAATGTTTGTTCCCAACTTGTTGGTGACATCAGGCATGACCATCAGGCATGACCATAATGTTAATGTCAGAATAAAAGCATGACTTGCGGAAATGGTGGACACTCGGGGTTCAGGAAAAGGGACAGCGTCATAAGGGGTGGGCGTCACCCGATTTCAGCGTGGTCACCACTGAATCGCCCGGGCAAGATCGAATCGTTATGGTTTGAATGTTGCGAAAAAACAAATCGAGGGAGAGCAAAACAA